TCCTACTTAGTCAAGGTCACAAGGAAGTGATTCACAAGTTCAGAAGAGATCTCAGTGGGATTGGAATTGAGTTGCCTCCTATGGATAGCATGAGTGAGGCATTTGATCAAATGCAAATGGTCAAGGATGTTCTAGCCAACAGTGATAAAGTTTCAGAGGTCCTGAAGGAGTCTACTCATCAGTTCAACCTGCTTACTTCACCCACCTTCCTACCAAAGGTCAAGGATCAAGGGAAATTCACTCTCCCTTGCACACTTGGGCATCTTGAGCTTGACAATGCCTTAGTGGATTCTGGAGCAAGCATCAATCTGATCTCTCTCTCCATGGCAGAGAAGCTAGGCATTGCTGGAGCCTTGCAGCGCCCTACTACTTCAATCATGTTTGGAGATGCAACTTCTAAGTCTCCTCTTGGAGTGTTCAAGAACTATCACTTGAAAATTGGAGAATGCATCATCCAAACTGATCTCACTGTGATGGAAATGGAAGAAGAGAAGGATTTACCTCTGTTATTGGGAACCCCTTTCCTTAGTACAGTTGGCGCTTCAATAGACTTTCACAAGCAAGAAGTGATCCTTCACAAGGTGAATAGTTTGGTGTCATATCGCTTGCAGCCTAGAGGTTCAGACTTTTGTGCCACAATTGACAGTACCACTCTCAGTTCTAAGAGTCATGAGCTACAAAGGTTGTGAAGGAAAGGGTTGACAAAGAACCAAGAGTTGGGAAGGATAAGGTTGAGAGAGGACCAAGGATTGAGAAGCCACGTCTTGAGAGGGCTAGAGTTGAGAAACCACGTTCTGATAGACCACGAGCTGATAGACTTGTTCAAGCCCCTTGTGTGCTTGATGAAGAAAGCCTTCAAGCTTTGTTTGATGAGCCACTAGGAAGGGCTCTAAAAGAAGGGGAGGATGTAGCCTCTAAGGCAAGACCAGGGATAAAAGAAAAGATCCACCAGCTCAGGCCCCTTCATCAAGCCATCTCAGCTCACAATGACTTTGTTCCCCACCAAGTTTGAAAATGGGAAGATTGAGTACAAGATAAGGTACAAGGGGAGATCAAGGCCATTCTCTAGAGCCAAAGCCTTGGTGACTTCAGAACAGTCCAGGGACCCAACCAAGCTAAAGGAGCTTCTGTCTCAAGTCCTCACTATCACCCTTGATGGTGGGACTAGCTCAACCAATGCCTAAGAAGGTAAAGGTCAAGCTATGGGACCTTAAACAAGCTCACTTGGGAGGAAGTCCCATGTTTATCCTTGTACATACTCTATTTATGCAATTTCTATCTATTTATGTTTTAACCTTTGAATAAGTTAAGTTTAGGTGTCAAGGAGCCAGCTCGACCGATAGCTCGATCGAGCTAGAAACCAGGGCAACTCGATCGAGCTCCACAACTCGACCGAGGTAAGTTTTTGAATTTCAAATTCATAACCGTTTTCTTGGTCAAGGGAGTGGGTCCCACAAGCTGATTTTGGTCCCCCACTACCCTAATTTGATCAGAGAATCCCTAGCTTCTTGTCCCCTCTTTATTTCATCTTTTAATCTCAACCACACATCTCAAACACCCTCTTCCCCATAACTCGATCGAACCCATCTCTCTCTCTCCCACACTCAATTTTTCTGAAACTCATCTCTCTCTCTCTCATCACACAAGAAATCGAATTTCAATCTTTCTCTCTCAAGTTTTTGCGATTTCTTGTTGCTCTTCTTGTTTTGCTTTTTCTAGTTTGATTCTTCAATTCATCATTCAAGCAAGGTATGAACCCTAACCCTTGATTCCTTCATCTCGATTTCTCTATTGCTTGTTTTCTCTTGATTTTGATTGCATGTGTCCCTTGTGGACTTGTTCTTGAGTAATTGCCCTTCATATTTCGCCTCTGCTGTATAATCTTGTTATTTGTTTCACCTCACCTCTGTTTTGCCATTAAACTTGTTGCATGTGCTTAAAATTGAATTTGAGTTTGGTATTGGTTAAGGATGCTTAGTCTTCACTAGAATTGCTCATTGTTCCATTTACTAGTTGTTCTTGGTTCAATTTGATTGATTAGCATCCTTTCCAGCTCTTAATACTTGAATTAGGTTCGGTTATACTCTGTTTTCACCTAGCTCGATCGAGTTTGTCACTCGAGTTTTTTGACTCGATCGAGCTGAGTGTCGAGTTGACCAAACCGATCATTACAACTCTAATTCTTTGTAATCTTTGATGCATTTCAGGTACTTTAAAAACAGTGACAAGATGACAAACAGTGAGGGAAGCCGCTTCACAGAGGAGAATGGTTGAGGGTGAATCAAGCAATGCAAGGGAAGAGAAGGCTTAAGATGCAAGCCGATTTGAAGAGGATGATCAGAGGATGGAAGATCTGATGCGGATATGTCTAGGAGAGGACAGTCTGAGAGTGAGAGGCTGATGGAAGAAAGGAGGACCAAGAAGAGGAATGACCCATAAGTAGTGAGAGTGAGCAAGGGGAGTTTGAATTGGGGTCAATAAGAGGAGGAAGAAAGTGATGGTTCTCCAAGTGGAGCTGGTGAGATTAACCAAGATGAGCAGATGGAGGAGGCTGAGGCAGAGCAAGAGGAGGATGAGCTCCCTATGTACCAAGAGCACTACAATGCTCTCTTCTCCATGGACTTTGTGGAACCAAGTACCCACATGATGACAATGAGGCCCTTGGAATCTTTGAGGATGTGGAGTTGGTGCTCAAGAACATGCACTTGGCCAAGTTCTTCTCTCACCGATGGAGTCTACAAGGAGCTCACTTGTGAGTTTTTGGCTTCAATGAGGTACCACAGTACAAGAGCTCGATCGAGCTGATTTGGACCAAGGCTGGGATGGATCACGTTCTTGGCTAAGGGAGAGAAGAAGATGGTGACCTTTAGGCAGCTTGGAGATCTGTTTGGGTTCACTATGGAGAGGGAACCAAGTGGAACATCAAGGAAGAAGGAACTCCAAAGAGTTTGGGCTACAATCGCTGAGGGAGTGTACTCTTCCTCAAGGTCCAAGGCTGCTCAGATCAGGAGCCCAGTGCTTGAGATATGTGCACAAGGCACTTGCCAACACCTTCTTTGCAAGGAAGCACGGGACAATCAATGAGGAGGGAAGCTCCTTGACATGGGAATCAACCCATCATCTCACGCACAAGCGATGGGCAAGAGGATCAGAGGAGATAGATCACACAGGGAACTCATGCCTTTCCTTGACAGCTCTCTCCTACAAGACACAGCCTACAACACTAGCATCAAAGGGAAGAAGGCTTAGTGTTGGAGGGTCATCACACCCTATCTTGTGTGCAGCTGGAGTGAACAAGAAGAAGCACTCCAGGTTGGATGGACATCAAGTTTTGCAAGACCAACCTCCTCATTGAGCACAAGGAGTTGGATGGGAGATTCCAATTCAAGTTCACACATCCATTGGCTGGCCCTTCCAAGCTTCTCCTGCCCAACCCTGAGCTCACCACAGTAGTAAGGGGTGAGAACATTGACTTCAGACCCCCTGTGTACACATTAGTTGGGCATGAGGATTTGCGAGAAGAGGAGCCTGAGCTCGATCGAGCTGAGGATCGAGCTGAGGCAAGCTGCGAGCTGAGGATCAGGTCCAGGAAGTGCGGATTTGGGTGAGCCTGAGTGCTATTATTTTGAGGAGTATGAGGCTCCAAGGATGAACCCCTCTGTTGTGGCTGCCACAAGAGGATTGGACTTCTCCAAAAGTTCAACAAATGGCAAGGGAAAGCCATTGAAAGATGCAAAAGTCCATGGACAAGATGGTGAGCAAGATCAAAAGTTTGGAGAAGAAGGTTTCTGGTTCTTCAAGCAAGAAGAAGAAGTCCAAGGCCCCCACATTCCCTAGGAGTAGATCTCTTCTCACCACTCCAAGGAGGCTCCCTGCCCAAGAGCCTCACAGAGCCTCTTCTTTCGAGCCAAGGGAAGGAGAAGACAACACGCAGAGAAGGAGGAAGACTTCCAAGGCCAGACGCTCCAGCTCGACCACCGGACTCGATCGAGTCCAAACAGAGGAAACTCAACTCGATCGAGCTGACGGTCGAGCTGACCTGGAGGAGCCCCAGTTTGAGAATCCGGATTTCGATACGATCAACCAGTACCAGGACTTCCCAGAGATGGACCCCTACAACAGTCGAGAGCCAGCTCCACCAAGGCCAAGGAGCCACACACATTTGAGATGAAGAAGAGAAGAGGAGGAGCCGCAAGCTCGATCGAGTGAGTGAACCCAGTCGAGTGGAGTGCTCCTGATGGCCGTCTACCATCTCCAGACCACGACCTAGCCTCCCAGTTCTTTGGGGGGCACTGAGGTATCCAAACACCAACCCTTGTATATACCATTTCATATTTTCTTGCATTTGTTTTGTTTTTCTTGGTTTTGCCCTCTTGAATCTTTCACTAAATTTTCTCACACAAGGGACTGTGTGATTTAAGTTTGGGGGAGGGTTCAAGAGATGATTTAACCTTGTTTTCTTTGTTCTTAGTTTTTCATTATCTTTTGCATAGAAAAACCAAAAAAATCATAAAATTTTCAAAAAATCCAAAAATATTTTCATCTTTTTGCATTCATATTTGTTAGACTTGTTTAGGATTGCATTTTTCACTTGCATTGTTGATTTGACTTTGAAAACTTGTTCATCTTTTGCGATTTCTTGAGTGCCCTGTTTTTAGATTCTTTTGTGCATTAGGGTGAGATTGATTGAGCAGCAAGAACCATGTTTATCTTGATCATATCACTGCATGCACATCTCATTCAACCATTGCTGTGATTTGATGCATTTCCCTATCTATTTGAACCATAACTTGATCTTTAATTACCAATGCTTGCATTTGATTTCAACTCATGGCTACCACATACATATCTGGACATTCTTTACCATTTTCATATCCCTTTGCTTGTCCAGATAGCTGATCTCTATCTTTGAGACAGTTACCACACCTTAAACCTAAGCCTTTTCATTTCAAACCCCATATTATCTCTTGTGCGAATGTGAGAACCTTTCTTGGCTTTGCTTAGCATAAGGTGTTGTGTTTAAACCGGCAGGGGCAGTAGTTCTAGTTGTCTAGTTCTCTTGGGATTGTTTTCAGGCTAAGTTTGGGGGTGCCAACTCGAGCTCGATCGAGTTGGGTGTAAAAACCAGAAAAGTGGTAAAAGTTGGGAAAATCCAAAGGAAAAAGAGTTTAGTTAAGTCCAGGGAGTTGGCAGTGTTAAAAAGGGTCTAGTAAAGGTTTGGGAAGTTAAAAAAGGAAAGTAAAAAGGGTTCTAAGTAGAATGAAAAGAAGGCAAAGCCTCAAGTGTCAAAAAGAAAGAAAAGTTCCCTAAGTGTTTAGAAAATCCCAAACCGCTAGATGTTACCTCAAGAAGCCTCTCCCTAGGAAGTTCTTAAAAGAAAAGTGAGCAAAGCTCCTCAGTTTCAAAGGCGAAATGCCAAAAAGGGTAGTTAGGATTTTGTTCTAAAAAGCTCTAAGTGTTGAACTCGATCGAGTTAGGATTAGGCGGCTCGAGCTGCTGTTCTTGCATCATCTTTGGTTCTAACACTTAGCCTTCTGCCAAAGCAAAGCCACTTTCTTGAGAGATCCCTGTTACTAAACCACCATACAAAAGAGACCCTCTTTGTCTCTTAACCCATAAACCCTTGTGATGGCGGGTTTAGATTGCCTCAAATTTTCACAATTTATAAACCCAACTAATGAGCTGCAAGTGCACAGCCGTGTTGTAGTCGGGGTCGAACACGAGGAGGAAGTGTTCTCGCTTAACACCTTGTGAGATTGGTTTGTAGCTAGCTCGCAATATGAGATGGTTTTGGACCTAGAATGAGAAAAAACAAAAGAATGTGAGTGAGGTTGTAAACAATTTAAAACAAGAGTTAGGCAAAGGACAATCATATGGAGCAATGATGAAAAGATAGTTGCATGGGATGTGTGTAGAGCCGTCTTGAACATGAATCACTAGTGTATGGTCTTTCCACTGTCGTGGCTCCAACCACTATGTTTAAAACAACCTAATATACTCAGCTTTCGTTGGCTATTAGAATTGCAAACATGCATTAAAGGTGATCAAGATTCAATTGTTCACAATAAACCATAACTCAGCTTTCGTTGGCTATGATCTATTGCTCACCAAATACTAGTTTTGAGATCTAGATTCAGCACTGTCGTGGTTCTATTTCTCTAAGATCAGATTACTAGATGTACGGTAGAGTAATCATGCATTAAGCTCAAGTAAAGGTGAAGATCCATAAGATAAATCCCAATAAGTTGCAACACAATCAAATCATCACGGCCACCATAGATCTCCTCGGCCTAACTAAGAGATCTACTCGGCCATGATGCAAACAAGCAAGCAAAGCATGATTGTAAACATTATGCAAGTATTAAAAGAGATAAAGGGATGAAGAAAGCTTCTCTATTGATGAACAAAGTCGGATTCTCCCTTGAAAACTCTTAAATCAAGTTTATAGAAATGGAAACAATGAAAAAGAAAGAACAAGAGTTGAGCGGCGCCTCCTTCTTCTTGGACGATCTCCTAGGGCTTCTCTCCTCTGAACTCTCTTCTCACACGTACACTCTTTGATAATTTTCGGACTCTCTTCTTCAGCGGCTAAAAACATGTATATATGGGCGAAGTCGCGTAGGGTTTTCTTCATGCCGGAAAAGGAAAGTTTCCCGTGAGCAAAGCCTTCTTCTCCACGTCGTGTATGGGCCGACATTGTACCAAGGAAAGCTCCAAACATTAGCCAGGCCTCTTCTCTATTCGATCAAGGCCTTTGGCGCTGCTGCTCGGGCCATTAGACACTCCAAATCCTCCATGGGCTTCGTTTACTCGCTTACCGGACATGTCTCGGTAGAAAATAAGTTCGGCCTCATAGTTGATCCAAATGGCTTCATTCCACTTCGACGTGATGCATGACTCAAGTATCTATCTTTCCATATCAAGATCGTAACTTTTGGACGTCGGGAACTCCTCCGCGCGCGGCCAAACTTCCGAAGCTTCGTTCTAGCGAGAACTAACACTTGGAGATAAAATGATCTTCTTGACTTGGAAACTTGCATGGATCTTGATTTAGGCTCTTTTACTCCTTTTTGCATCCTTTTTGATGGTTTCACCTACAAAGACTTCAAATCCCACAAATACAAGAAAACTACCTCTAAAGGCAAAGAATCTTGCAAAAACCGTTTGAAAACATAGTATTATATAGTAAAATCATGTAAAATATGGTGATATCAACTCCCCCAGACTTAGCCTTTTGCTTGTCCCCAAGCAAACTAAGCAGGAAAAGAGGTTTGAAAACGTGAGAACTCTCAAATCTTTTGGAAATCCAAATTGACTTATGCTTTAGTAATCCACATGAAACAGCATTGGCAAGTTTTGAATTAAGAACAAAGTACATACCATGAGTTTTGCGATTTTCCCAAAGCGGTCCACCTCTCCTTGGACAATCCAATTCGCCACCCTTGACTCCTTTCATTTCTAAAGGTGTGGTCTCAACTAGGGAGTATCGATCAGCCGGCTTTTAGATTCTTTCTCATCCCCTTGTTTGGCACTTGTCTTTTACTCCATGTTTCTCCTCTCTCTCTTCTCACTTCTTTGAGTTGATTCATCCCTTTTTTAGGGTAGCGAAGTATTTTTTTATTCAACTCCTTCTCTTTATTATAGAGGTTTTGCTTGGATCTTCCACAGACGCGAGTATTGATGGTGTTTGCCACCGAATCCCCGGTTGCTTGGATTCATAGGCCTTCCATAGACGCGAGTATTGATGGTGTTTGCCACCGAATCCCCGGTTACTTGGACCTTACGCTTTTTCTTTAAATTTGAAGGGGAGAGAGAGGGAAGCACGAACTCACTAAGACTTTTTCATTTGATGGAGAGGATGAGGAATCATGCCATTTGTATGCCAAGCCCCTAGCTGAGAAGATTAAGTTCATTAAGGGCGGAGTCAAAGATGGATCCTTCTCAAGTCTTTAGAGATGTAGGCGTTTTTGGTAGATCGATCAACTCATAGTGCACCTGTGGTAAGATGTATTGCCAAGAACTGCTCAATGGTCACTTAAACATTAGTACAATCATGGTTAGATCCAAGATAAGGTCATGATTCTCGACAAAAATTTTGACTCAATAAAAACGACTCGATAAAAGGGAAAAAATGCAAATGAAAACGCCAAAATGAACAAACATTGTTAGTAATCCCCCCAGACTTAACTTGCACCGTCCCGGTGAAAGCAAATCGGATTAAGAGAGGTATAACATGAAGTTCAAATGAAAAATTGAAAAGAAAAAGGTTTAGGATGATGTTACCAAATGTCGACCAATTTATAATGAAGATCAGTTCCGGTTTGGGTCATTCTACACTTCTTTAGGCAATATTGGTCGGTGAGTTTTTAATTTCAGGCCTTGGTTTCCGCCGGTTTGTGTTTTGGCCGAGATTGGTATATTCGGTCGGCCAAAATGTGGTGCTGTGAACTACAGAACAAACCGTCAAAATTTCATGACCTATATTGAAATTTCATCGACCAACCTGGTATTTTATGGCCTCTGGTGAAGTTTGGGAGCATTTGTACGAGCGGATTGAGACTTCCTTCACAAAATGGTCAAGTCGGCTCCGGGAAGGAGTTTCCTTGGCCATGTGAAGTTTGGCTCGTTCCTTTTCGTTTCTTCCTGCATAAAAGTGTTAGTTAAGCTCAAAGGAAGAGTTTTCCAACCGGTTGGCGCGCCTATGCCGTGATTTGGTTTGTCGGCCATATTGCTTGCGCGCCATCGGCCAGAATGAGCTCCGTCGTCTATCTCATGATCCGTGATGATTTCTCCGTCCTATCTTTTGGATTTGCCGACCAAAGTGTTTATGGTCGCCTGTGAAGTTTGGTGGACTTTGGTCACGCCGTTTAGGAGTTGGCCGAGTTGGTCTCCTTGTGCGCGTCATGGCCGAGAGAATGTCCGGATTGAATTTCTTCAAATCCACTCGGGCCAATTGAGATTTTCTTCGACCGAATTGTTTTAATAACCCTCCTGTGTCATTCCCAAGTGGTGGCCGCCTTGTTTCGTGTGATGGCCTATGTATCTCCTTTTAACCTCCCTTTGGCCGCCATATGCATGTTGGTTTTAGGTGGTTGATAGGTTTGCTCTATTTCTCCTTCCTGTCAAATAACTCCTTGCAAAACACTTGAAATCATGATTAGATGGTTTCTTGATTGTGATCCTCAAGTGACCAACTTGAAGTTCACAATCCAAGAGATTAAAGCACAAACTATAAATTCTTATTTGGTCTTGGTCAATGATCCAAATTTCAAACTATAGTTCAATCTCTTGTAATTTCAGTGAGCGAAATGAGTTTTGACAAGTGATTATGTATTCTTTCCAATCATCAAATGTAAATCAAGTTAAACCATGAAATATATTTGGTAAAGTGCAATGGTTTAAACGATTCAAGTGAAGATCAAGAGTGATTATGAAATGAATACTAGGTGAGAGTTTACTTACCTTTTGTAGAGAAACGCCTTGTACAAGGGTGGGCTCATTGGGTGGGACACTTTCATTGTTTGGTCTCCTTTGGGTCTTCATCCTAAGAAAATATTTTTGTATTTTTGTTTGATTTTTGAAAAACTCCTGCAAAATAGAAATAATAGTTAAAAACCATATGGGTTGCCTCCCATAAAGCGCTTTTGTTTTAAGTCATTTAGCTTGACTCCTTCTCTTTCTTTCAATCGTGGTGAAGAGTGGCTGAAGGGCAAAGGATCCCTTTAGCTTCTCCATTCTCCGGTTCAGTGGCTCTTGTGGTGGTGTTGTGCGCCATGATCATCTATCACTTCATCCTTGAAAACCAATGCCTTGGGGAAAAGCTTCATAGTTCTCTCAAGCTTCTCTTCAATGGATTGGTCACCTTTAAGCTCCGAATCTTTTGGTGTAAAGATTCTTATCTTGTGAAAGAGATTAGGTGCACCATTAGTCTCCTCTTCAGCTCCATACTCGTCAAAGGTTGGAAGTAAGATGGAGTTGTTTCCTTAAAGACATTTTCATGCCTCGGCTCCAATGTTTTCTTCTTCTCCTTTGGTTTTGGGTAGCGCTCACTCTCTCTTCTTTCTCCATGCAGCATAGCTTCTTTCTTAGGTATGAGAGTGGCTTCTTCTGGTGGTAGCTTGGTCGCACTTGGCACTGACCTGAAATTTACACTTGGGAAAAAGATATCTTGCCGGATGTGGCCAAAAGATAGATGATTCCCAAAGTAGTTTAGGACCGCTCCAGCTGTAGCAAGGAATGGGGTTCCAAGAATCAGTTGATTCCTCTTTGAGCCTTCCCAAATCATGACTTGAAAGTCAGTTGGGACTATCGACCCCCTATTTCCATCATGACATCTTCAAGCATTCCATAGGTTCCATGCACGATAGGTCCGCGAACTCGACTCTTATCTTGGGGCTCTTGAATTCCTTGAATCCCAAGTCTTTTGCAAGTGCAAGAGACATTAGATTAACATTAGCACCAGTATCACATAGGCAATCATGGAGTTGAATGCCATTGATACTTGAAGTTATCACAAACTTCCCCGGATCTTCTTGTTTTTGTAGTGGCTTGCCTTCAAGTCTTCTCTTGTAAGCTCTTCTTGATTCCCAACTGTATCTCTCCGGTTTGTGCCTCTCCTTAGGCTCATTTTCTTCTTCTTCCCCTTGAGATAGTGTGATATACCTCTATTTTACATGCTTTTTATATGGTTTTACTATGCTTTTCATAAGGTTTTTAATGGCTTTCTGATCTAAAAAGGTAGTTTTTATGTATTTATAGTACTTAGAGTCTAAACAGGTAAAAAGATGCATTTTGGAGCAAAACACAGGATTTGGACTTCAAGACCACTCCAAGACGTAGCATCAGCTTAAGAAGGGCCTTAAAAACATTCTACTCATTGGACTTCATCAAATCCAGTTCTAAGAGATGCATACATGAGTTAGCTTTGCAATTCAACTGGAATCAATCAATTTGACCGAGTAGATTGGGAGATATCTCTATTTCCCTGAGACATATACCGAGGAGATTTATCGGACTGCATCAGTACATCAGACGAGCAGCAGCGGCTTAGACCCTTAAACTCAATGGATTTCAATGAAACTCAACACCAAGATAGCCAGATGAGTTATTGTTCTAATGCCGTTGGAAGTATGCAATTTGGATAAGCCGTTTAGGAGATATCACGTTTGTACTGAAGACTGGTCCACAGCCGGCCGAACGCACTCGGCCGGACAGGAAGGGTATTGGCTTCGCTCGGCCTTCTCCAGGACCGATCCGGCCGCACGACCGCACCGTCCGACCCGGGAGGCAATGGACCACGATCGACCGAGATCATCACATCACGGCCGACCAGACCGTGCGACCCGGGAAGCAAAGGACCGCGCTCGACCCGATCTCCGCGAACAAGAAGCCCACTTATGCAGTTTTGACTTTCTCAGCCCAATTAACCTAAACCGACTTGTGAAGACCTAGGGCACTATAAATACACTTTTTTAGCCTCATTAGAAGAGAGAGCCGCATTAGTTTTAGAGAGTTTACATTATTTCGTTTTAGAGCTTCATGGGAGAAGATCTCACCTTTGTAACACTATAGAGGAGATTTCTAAACCCTTTTACTTTCTATCAAGTTTTATTATGAATTCTTCTTCATCTCTATGCTTGATCTCTGTTACTATGCTTGAGTAATCTCCTTGTTGGGTGTAAGAGTTTTCAAAGGGTTTTCATGGATTGATTGTTAGGTTGCTAGATTAGGGTTTTATCATTAGTGTTCTTCATCTAAGTTTGTGCTTATTGCTTATAGCTTGATTGACCGTCTAAGCTACTGTTCTTAAGTAGATTTACTTTCTGACCGTTTGTTAAATCTCTTGAATCAACTTAGATGAGCAAGGCATAGTAACCTACGGAAGTAGAATTGCAAGGCTTTGTGAACTAAACCTACGGAAGTAGTCTATCGAATTTGAATGTTCTTACATGTTTAACCTCTTGATTACCTGCGGAAGTTGTGTGATTTAGGTTGTTAGACATAGTAATTGGCACTGCGGGAGTAGGTCAATTATACTTATCAATTCGAGTTCTAGAACAAAACTATTGATTTCCCTATCTATTTGCTTGATCCAATCTATGAAACCTTGAGAATTCTCTAATGCCCAATGCTTTCTTCTATTGCTTTCACCTTATTTACTTTGTTTTGCTTTGAAACCGTGACAACAACAAACCTCCATACTTGAGTCTTAGCTTGATTCGAATCTCATAAACTCATAGTGTAACTTATCTGGTCCTTGTGTTCGATAACCCGTTACTACATCTGATCCGTGCACTTGCAGAATCAGGGATAGGAATAGGTAAAACCTGACCCGATCAAGTTTTTGGCGCCGTTGCCGGGGACCAAATACAGTTGCCTAAGAGTTTCGGATTAGAGTTTAGACTAGGAAACATTTTTAATTTTCATTTTTATTTGCAATTTTTGTTTTTCTTATTTTTGCTTATTTTACTTACTTTTCTATCTTTGTGTGTTTCAAGGTACCTTGAGGAAGAGATAGGAGATCTTGAAGAAGGATTCACAATAGAAGATGGAGCCTCAAAACCGCCCAATCGGAGAGTTTGATTCACTAGACATCTTCTTCACAAAACGCCAACCTATATGCCCTTTACCACCTACTGGAGAGTTCAAGATAAGCTCTAAACTCATTGCTTTGGTGGAGCAGCATCAGTTTCGTGGCCTAGAGGAAGAGCAGCCCATTGATCATATTGAGAAGTTTGAAGAAATCTGCGGTACAAGGAGATGTAGTGGTTTTCTGAGGATTACTTGAAGTGTACTTTATTCTCTTTCTCTTTGATTGAGAAGGCATACAAGTGGATGAAGGCTCTTCCAGCAGGATCAATCACTACTTGGGATGAGTACAAGAGAGCTTTCTTGAAGAATTTCTACCCGAAAGAGAGATTAAAATGGATGAGAAGAAGAATCTCAGAATTTCGACATGAGGCACATGAATCATTCTTTGAGGCTGTTTCACGGTTCAAGGAGTACAAAAGAGAGTGCCCTCACCATGGTTTTACAGAGATTTCTTTGCTAAACTTCTTCTATCAAGGAGTTGATGAGAAATTCAAGATGGCACTAAACATCGCAAGTCAAGGGGACTTCATGAC